ATGAAGTGTATAATGGATGACCCAAATGGACTTAAAACCTTACTTAAAAAAGGAGATGTTTTTGTTTTAGACAGAGGCTTTAGGGATGTAAAAATCTATTTAGAAAGTGAAGGATATAAGGTCTTGATGCCAGCTCTGAAAGGTTCTCAGGTTTCCACTTTCGAGTCAAACGAGTCTCGATTTGTAACGAAAATTCGGTGGGCTGTAGAAGCTGTGCACGGAATTTTGAAGCAGAAGAACAAACTTTTAGCAGAAGTTGGCCATGTCAGTTTAATTGTAGGTGGCGCTACTTTCGAGATTTCTACATGGCGGCCATTTTTGCAAATGGCAACAGATTTTTATGTTCCAGTGAATGTCGTAGGTGACATGGAGACGAATACAACGGCTTTTTATTTTTTGAAATTGGATCATTTTTCACTGAGTTACAGTGTTCCAAAGTTTATAATTTAAGTAAAAGGCTTCGACCCCCATACAGTGTGCGTATTTTGTGACTTCAAACTGTCCTTCTCTCTCTCTCTCCCCTCTCTCTCGCTCTTTCTCTACCTCTCTCCTTCTCTCCTCCCTCTCTCTCCCTCTCTCTCTCTCTCCTCTCTCGAGGTGAGTCTCTGTGTTGACGTGTGCGTTTGCCGCTCCGGTTTCTCTGAAATTTTTCTGCCGCTCTCTGCCCCGCGAGGCGTTCCTGTTGCAGATTCTCGCTTGCACGGTCTGTATACCCTTGCATTGACACAAACGGGTGCTTGTATTTCCATTGGATTCTCGGAAATTCCACTCATCCTCGCTGTGCTCGTCGCCGATTTCTTGCCAGCTGGCCCGGAGTGTCGTGCGCTTGCGCCGATGTGCCGCGCGTGCCTCTTTGTTATTGGCCTGTGTATCTGACAGCTCGCCTGCCGATCCCGCGATGGCCGCGCAGGAGCCCGCTCTGTCGGATCCGGGCGCCTTCTGGGGTAACATCGTCGGCGACGAAGGGACAGAGGCACTGCGGAGCGCCTCGGGAGAATCGCGGAGGGCGTCGAGCTCGCTGAGTTTCTCTCTCTCCGAACCGTCCTCTGTCATCTCTAGAATTAACGTTCTAAGATTGTCGGTCAAATCATATAATGATAACTTTGCTAGCGTCTTGTTAGGCAGCAAGGATACTATTGAGCGCAGGAAAACACTGGAGGCCGCCTTCAGGGCTTGTAATGAAGCTTTTCATGAGGTCGCTGGTGCTTGCCTGGGTCTGTTGGGGGCGGTGTCGAGTGGCGGCATGCCGAAACTTGAGGATATACGCAGGACAGTTATCGAGGCTCTGCACTGCGGGGCGAACACCTCTGTTCTTGCCCCTGTCGGAGAAGGAGCATCGTCCAGTGGCGGGGAGTGCAGGCCCAGAGCTTACGCTTCGGTAGTCAAGACAGCAAAGGTGCAGCTGTCTGGAGGGCCAGTGGTTACTGTGCCCAGAACAACTTGCTTCTTGATACAGCCTAAGGACACTATCAACCCTAGATTCTCCAACTCTCAGGCAACGAGGGAGGAGGTCCGGAGGGTGCTCAGGCCGTCAAAAGTATCTCTAAGGATAAACAAAATGACTGCTGCGAGGGGTAACGGGGTGCGCATCGAGGCTCTCGACCCTGATCTCGAGGCGATTGGGAGTATGCTGAGCGAGGCTGGGCTGGAGGTGGTCAGGGACGTGAGGCTCAATCCCAGGATTATCATCTACGGAGTTCCGATTGCCGCCGCAAACGAAACAATCCACAGCGAGATCGTGGATTTAAATCTCAGGGATATCAAAGATCCCTCTGTAAGGTTCGTCTATGCTTTTCCGGCAAAAAACCGCTCTCACACTGGCTGCATCATTGAAGTGTCACCAGAAGTGAGGAATGCCCTGCGACGGGAGCCCTTCATATATGTAGGGTACTCTGCATGCAGGTACGCTGACTATGTTCGTACTCTGCAGTGCTTCTGATGCCTCGGCTTCGGACATATTTCGCGAGACTGTGCTTCGCCCGCGGTCTGTGGACACTGCTCAGGGAGTCACGAATTGAAGGACTGCAGTGAAGAGAGCGAACCTCCTACTTGTGGAAACTGCAAAAGATGGCATCCGCAAAACGAAAATCGTCACTCAGCAACTGACAGAAAGAAATGCCCAATATTGCAAAAGAGAGTCCTTGACAAAATCACATTAATCAATTATGGCGAATAATAGAACAATGATCATTGACAACCTCAAAGTTTGCCATGTAAATTGCCAGTCTCTGGTTGCGCACCTGGACGAGTTTAGGACCTTCTTCACGGACTCTGGATATCACATAATGTGTCTGTCCGAGACCTGGTTGCGCCCCGAGGTCACGGACGATTTCGTGGATCTCTGTGGCTACCAGCTCCACAGATGGGACCGTGTGGGCCGGGGAGGGGGGGAGTGGCCTTCTACCTGCGGGAGCCCTTGAGGGGTAAGATCCTGAAATGCTCAGCTGAGAATTACTGCCACAACCCAGAATTCCTGCTGGCCGAGATCCACTTCAAGAACTCAGCCAAACTCCTTCTTGCAGTGGTCTACCGACTACCTCACTGCGGCAATCTACAGGAATTCTTCGATACCTTCCGAGATCTTAGCGTTCTTTACTCGCACTCTGTAATCTTCGGCGACTTCAACGCTGACCTCTCTGCGGCCTCCTTCAATGCCGGGCGGGTCCTGGACTTCGTGAACTGTGCCAGTTTGTACTTGATACCGTACACCAACACCCACCATACCAGGTCATCCTCCACGTGGTTGGACCTTTGCATTGTCGACGACTCCGACAAGGTCGTCAGCTACGGACAGCACGATGTGGGCTTCCTCTCCTCGCACGATCTTATTCACATCACCTACAAAATCAAGGTCGTTCGTACTCAGACCAGGGACATCTGGGCAAGAGATTTTAGAACCTTTGACGTCGGGGAGTTCACCAGGGACCTGCTGGCGAGGAACTGGAACAGGTTCTATGAGGTTGATAGCGTTGATCATAAGGTCGAACTCTTCAACTCCTTCCTCTTGGAGAGCTTCGACTTGCACGCGCCAGAGCGCCTCATTAGGCCCCGTAAGCTCCCGGCACCCTGGCTCAGCGAGGAGATCAAACGCAGGATGCGCGAGAGGGACAGGGTCAGAGGACAGTGGAGAAGACATAAATGCGACCGACTGCACAGCTTGTTCAGGGATCTCAGGAATGAGGTCCAGATCCTCGTTAGGAATGCTAAGAAGAGCTACTTCACCAACTTCTTCAGCAATTGTAACGACCCTGGCACTGCATGGAACGAGCTGAGACACCTGGGTATAATAAAATCTAAGAACTCAGCAAGACCACTACCATGCTCAACCGAGGAGCTTAATTTATATTTCTCCTCCACTGGCGACCGAGGTGAGGCTCTGGACACTGTGTTGCCCTGTATTGGTGGCGCGGGCCTGGACGAGGACAAGTTCTTCTGGGGAGGCGTGACACCTGAGGAGGTTGTTTCAGCACTCTCTGGCGTGAGCTCTCGGGCTAAGGGCGTAGACGGACTCCCTTACCGACTGCTGCGTATCGCTCTTCCCTGTCTTCTGCCTGAAATGCTACATATCTTCGAGTCTTCATTCACGCTCAATACCTTTCCGACTTTGTGGAAGCGTGCGCTTGTTGTGCCTCTGCCCAAGGTTCAGGTGCCTGAGGCTCCTCAACATTACAGGCCCATTTCCATTTTATGCAGCATCTCTAAGGTCCTTGAGAAGATAGCGGCCAGGCAGATCACAGCATATTTGGAGCGCCTGGATCGTCTTGATCCGTTTCAGTCTGCCTACAAGCGTGGTTTCTCCACTCAGACCGCGCTGATCAGGGTGCTGGACGACATTAGATCTGCCGCTGACAAAAGGATGGTCACAGTATCCGTCTTCTTCGATTTCAGCAAGGCCTTCGACTGCGTCTCTCACAGACTGCTCATCACCAAACTCGCAGCCCTCGGCTTTTCAAACTCCGTTCTGCACTGGCTCGGCTCGTACCTTTCCGACAGATGTCAAGCAGTGAGAGATGCCTCGAGTGGCGACATGTCTTCCTTCATGGAAATAGGAAGCGGGGTGCCACAGGGCTCCGTCCTAGGACCACTTCTTTTTTCATTGTTCCTCTCCGATTTCAGGCATGTTCTTCAGCATTGTAAATACAATTTCTACGCCGACGACCTGCAAATCTATCTAAACAGCGAATCCAATGACATCCAAAACTCTATTCTCTTGATCAACGAAGACATTGAGCGGATCATCTCTTGGACCTTGGAAAGCAAGCTGAGACTCAATCCCGGAAAGTCCAAGGCTGTAATTTTCGGCACTGCGAGATACCTCAACGCCATTCTCGCTGAAGATCTTCCAGCCATAAGAGTAAACGACGTGGAGGTCCCTTTCTCCGACTCCATTGACTATCTGGGAGTCCGGTTAATGAGCAACCTCTCCTGGGAGGGCCATGTCAGCAAGGTCGTCAAGAAAGTCAGTTACATAATACATCAACTGAAGCTCTGCAAGGATCTTTTCCCCAGATGTGTACGTCGCTCTCTCGTCCAGACACTTGTACTGCCGCATTTCGACTACTGCTGCGTACTCCTGACTGATATTACTGGCGTACAAAATGCCAGGCCTCAGAGATCGCTGAATACATGTGTGCGTTTCATTTGTCAGTGCAGGATCGAGGAGCACATAACACCCTACTATACCGAGCTAAAGTGGCTTAAAATCAGGGAAACAAGAACATATTTTATAGGTTGTCTACTATTCCAAATTCTACGCACCGGTGCCCCTCTGGTGCTCGCCCGCGAGTTTTCATATAGAGGAGCCGCCTCTCAGCGGGGCACAAGAGCGCCCTCCGATCTCCTCTGCACCCCTCTATGCAGGACCGAGCTCTTTAGGAAGTCGTACAGGAGTTACTCCGCAAATCTCTGGAACGACCTTACACAGAGTTTAAGGACCGCCGTCACTCTCCCAGCGTTCATAAACGAACTCTTCGCAGCCCTGCTGGATGGTCTTCTCACACCAACATGACCTCTCAAACAGCGGTATACGCTCTCGCTCCGTTCTCACCTTGCTGCCTAACGGAGTCACTTCGCCGCTCGGTCGCCTCGATCTGACTTCTGAATTCTCGCGCCCATTATCTCGCACTGAACATACCTCTCATTACTGCTCGCTCTCTTCATCCATCATTTAAGATCAACTCATTCTCATACCACATCACTTAAATTTTTCTTTTGTTTTCTTTAATCTCTTTAAACCACCTTTGTAAAAAATTCGCTATACTTTTAAAATCTTGTACACTCCTGTATCTTTTTGTTTCTGCGCCTTAGGGGACTTGTCCCAGGGCGCCAATAAACGTCTCTCTCTCTCTCTCTCTCTCTCTCCCCCCCTCTCTCTCGCTCTTTCTCTACCTCTCTCCTTCTCACCCCCCCCCTCTCGCTCTCTCTCTGTGCGTGCGCGCGCGTGTGTATGTGTGTTGTTTCTATCCGTTATCTGACTCTGATAGTCAACCAGCTTCATACCGCTTGACATGCATTTTCCCGTGCTTAGCGTTACCCAGGATGAACGACGTGGACGTGGCGGGGCTTTCATCCCTTTGGGGTGCTTGATTTACGTGAGTCCTCTTGCCTCTCACTTCGGGGTGCTTGTTTAACGTGAGTCCCCTCGCCTCTCACTTCGGGGTGCTTGTTTTACGTAAGACATCTTACCGATCATGTGTGTACGTGTGTGCATGTGACGAGCACTAGGCTTAGAAGCGCTAATTTTTTAATTTATCCATTTAATAAATGTTCGAATACACTACCATTCTGTTGTAAACATAAACGGAGCCGTTTCTGAAAATGTATAATGGTAGATAACAAAACTCGCCGAGGAATATTATTGCAGGCTCTTTTTATTCTGTTTTTCATATCCTCTCGAGTTGTCGGAGCTTCTTTGTACACTACATTTTTCGGTAAATATGCAGAAAAGTCACACCTCACCGATTTCCTCGCCACTTAGATATGTTGTAGGGGAGAGTTTTCTGAGTAATTCCCCA